AAACACGCAAACACAAGACTCTCTTAGACATGGTCAAAGTGTACATACATATTAGTGTCTGCTTTATATGGTGAGTGCAAGTGACATGCTTTGACTCTTGTGTAAAACCCTAGGACTTAGTGCCTAAACTCGATTAAGAACTTAACAAGGTATTATTATTAATAAAATAATCGAATTGATTAGCAAACTTTTTAATTAGACACAAAGTGATGACTCGAGCAATATATCGAACTGTCGCCAAAACGACAAGACTGGCGCCGCACTTTGCAGTGTAGCGCCAGACGACAGAACTGTCGCCAGGCGTTGCACTCCACAGAGTGGCGCTGCAGTCCAAATCGCGGCGCCATTGCTGGAACGTTGATCTGGGACTGCTTTCGGTATTATTACTCTACAGGGTATGCCTAAAGTCGTACTAGGTCAATTCTGATTAAATTATCAGACTTTCATTACTCAAATTAATTAGGCAAAATTATTTTAGTCATTAATCAGTTTATTTAGTCTTAACAAAAGTCAAACGAACGATTAGGAAAAATACATAGAGTATGCACAACAAATAATACACAATTAGTCAAGTAGGCACAATATGATGCAAAGAGTTTGCAACCTAACCATGGCTCTAGTTCTCTAAAGTTCGGGATATTGGTTAGTCAAAGAGGGTCCATGGTTAATTGTCTGGATGCACCGCGCGGAAGCCTTACCTTTTGAAGGGTTGGCGCAAGTGGATGGGACACCGCAAGTTAAAAACTCGCTTCTATGGTTTATTGAATTCAACATTCTCGGATGTACCCTTTGTTGCACAGAGCGTTCAATCAGGTAGATGGAGCATTAATTCCCAGAGGGTTATTTCCATATGTAGAACACATATTGGTTTTAGAAAAGTGAGAAAAACTCAGTCAGGAAGTAAGATCGAGCAAACAGTGCTAAAAACTTGTCAAAATTAGAACGCATATTTCTGGCTCGATATTGGAAGAACTTGGCGCCAGCAAACAGACGGTGCCGCGATTTGGCTCTGGCGCCTGGCGACAGGAGTGTCGCCTAGCGCCAGAGTCAAAACCTCGGCGCTAGACTCTGTTTTCTAACGCTAGTTCCTACATGCCTCAACAGCTTTCTATGCTCGATAAAATTTTCCAGTTTCGCGCAGCATTATTTCGATCCTAGTTGTGAAAGATATTCCTCAAATTTTTAACGTGTAAAAATCCTTGTTTTAACTCATTACGGATGGTCTTTCCAATGAGATCTTTTTTATGCATATGACAATATTGTTAATCAAAATTACGCACATGAAATACTTAGAACTTTTCGAGTCTCATCCACTCATTCTAAATCATTGCCGAAATAAATTTCAGGAATTAAAATAGAAATCCTCCCCAGTAACTGTAGGGAATATTTCAAGCATTATCCCTATCTTGAACCCTATTGTGATCATACACTAAAGTACGGTGGCGTCCAAAGGGAAAGAAGATAGAGCAAAAAAGTCGCCAACAAGTTTTAGGAACTTGTAAACCGTTCACAAGGTGAAGGTTACACCCCTTAACGATACAGGAGATCGTCAACTCCAATAGATCTGGAACCATGACTGGTAGTTCAGGGATGAAGAAACAAATCCAACCTAAAAGAGATTTAACCTGCCCTAATAATAAGCCTCTACTTTATTCTGATCGTATTCATGTGCGCTTTCTGACTAACATGCAATCAATAGGATTAACCCTAAACCTGATTATCTATGTTGGTTGAATATTAATGCACAAATAAACTATTATTGGCGATCACTTGAATTATAATCAAATTAACCCTAAACAAGATTATTAATTATCTTATTAAGCGTGATTACAAGTACCAATTCCCTTTAAACATGCATAAAAGACATGATCAAGCAATAATAATAAATATATATCAAGCAACATAATAATAATCATCATCAATAATAATAATCATATTTATCATAATCATGTTAAAGCATAATAATAGCAAGATCCTAGGCATGATACTAACAAGATTAATAACAAACCCTAGCATGTCACTAAGCAATAAAAATCAAAGCTTTAGCCCTAACATGATACTAACATGAATATTAGGAAGACAATAAAAGGCATCATAGAAATCATAATTGATTTAAGAAACTTATTCTTTACCCTAGACATGGTACTAGGAAGATCAAACACCCTAACATGATACTAGGAATCAAAATACAATCTAAGCATGATTTCTATAATATCAATAAATCAATTAAAGCACTTACTTGGATGCCTCGTATCTCTTTCTAATAGCAAAATACACATGTTAGTAACTTCAAGGAAAATAATAAAACAAACAATTAAATTAAATAATTGAAAGAGATATTTGGGACCAAACCCTCAAAAATTAAAACCTTTCACGTCTAGGGCGAAGGCAACTTCGAACTTGGATAGGTGTGTCTAGATCTTGTGAATGCGGGATTTTATATGAAAAAGGCTAGTTTAGAAGAGAGAGAGAGAGAGAGAGAGAGAGAGAGAGAGAGAGAGAGAGAGAGAGAGAGAGAGAGAGAGAGTAATTAAGAGATTCTTAATGAAAGTATTAGAATTGAAAACTAGAGAGTTGATGATTTTTTTATAAGATTTGATTATTTTTTATGATTGAAAACGGAGGTTTTAGGAGGCTATATATAGAGAAAATCAGCTGGACGGATAAAAAAACAAAATCAGAGTTTCGAAAAGAATAAAACAACTTAGCACAGACGCTAGACACTAGCGCCAAACGCCAGGTCTAGCACCAGACGCCAAGCCTGGCGCTAGGCGCTGGTCCTGTCGTCAGACGCTAGAAAACAATCTCCAAGCATTTTCTTAATTTGATAAAATTTAGTCGTACAGGAGGGCAAAATCGTATTTTCCTTAAAAACACTTCTTTTATTCTGATTAAAACTCTAAAAAGTTAACCAAAGTCAATTTACCAATGCTAATTAAATTAGGAATGAAAAGAACCTTCTAGAATAATCTAGAAGACTATAATCAATCCTAATTGCATTAGGAATGATAAATCAATATAGGTCCTCCTTTAGATCATTGGGCCGCACATAAATATCAAACCGGGCCAGTTTAGTAATTTGGCCATAACTTCCTCATTACTCATCGATATTGGGCTTATAATATATTGTTGGAAAACTCTTTTCGAACCTAACCCAACTACACCATTATTGGACCCTTTTCATGGACCAAACCAAACTGGATTGGTTGTTCTCTTAAAAATAAGTTTTCAAAAATAGAGAGAAAGAAAGGAAATAAAAACTAACTGCAACACTAGACTTTCCGCACTTTCACTTCATTGTACTCATCACTGGGTTTGGTTTTGGGGAGACACAAATGGGTGTCTACACTCCCTGATTTACCCCAGGAGGCGGCCGTGCTGAAAAAACGAGCTGCAAGCTTCGAGATGAGACAAGGAGAGCTCTTCAAAGCAGGCTTCTTGAAGCCTTTGTTGAAGAGTGTGACCCCAGAAAAGGGGTAGGAAGTTCTCAAAGAATTGCATGCGGGATACCGCGCATCTCATATAGGCGGCAGATCCTTGGCTGTCATGGCTGGCGCACTAATTCTGGCCAACCCTTGAGTCGGATGCTATGGAGATGGTTAAAAAATGTGACAAGTGTCAAAATTTTGGCAAGCTAATCCATCGTCCGGCCACTGACCTAACGAAAATCCATAGTCCAGTATCGTTTGCTAAATGGGGCATGGACATCCTGAGACCATATACAGCTGCTCCAGGCGGCAAGCGCTACATCCTAGTGGATGTGGACTACTTTACAAAATGGGTAAAGGCAGAGGCGGTCAAAAACATCAAGACAAAGGATGTCATCTCCTTCATTTATAAGAATATCATCACCCGTTTTGGGGTGCCTATGTCCATGGTTTTTGACAATGGTCCTCAGTTTGAGAAGCCTCAATTAAAGACTTGGTTGGGAGATCAAGGGATCTTAAATTATTTCGCATCAGTCGGCCGACCCCAAGCAAACGGCCAGGTCGAAGCCTTCAACAAGTTCATCTCAGACGGCATAAAAAAGAAAATTGAAAGAGCTGGCGGCCTAAGGGCGGATGAATTACCACACGTCCTATGGGCCATCAGAACAACAGCAAAAGGGGAAAATTGAGAAACCCTATTTCTCATGATGTATGGGGTAGAAGTTGTCTTGCCCATTGAACAATATGAGCCGACTCTTCGAATCATGTTATATGATAAAGAGGCAAACTGGGAGGCCATGCGGCTGGCATTAGACTCATACTCCCAGAGCACAGGGGCAATGCCGCCTTGCGCCATGAGATCTACTGCTTAAGAATGACTCGGGCCTATAACAAAAGAGTACACAAGTGCTCTTTGAAAGTTGGGGACTTTGTGCTACGAAAAATGGAGGTAGTCGACAAGGAGAATTATACAAAATTTCACTATAATTGGGGTAGAATTTGGTGAAGGAAATGTGAATTGAAGTTAGGAGAGTGTTTTTAAAGAAAAAAATCGAGGAAAATCAGTCAAAAGGGTCAAAATAAGCGTTAGGTGGGGCCCACTGACGGAAAATCCATCGGATTTTTTAAATGGATGGTAATCTGAGCATTTATTTAATTTAAGGATGGTAATTTAAAATTAAAAAAAAATAAAGGGGTGGTTAATTCGAAAATGGTTACATTTTTTTATGGTGATTTAAAAAAAAAAAAAAAAATTATTTCTAGGAAATCTCTTTCAATTTGATTTAACCTTAAATCAAAAATTTAGTTCTTGATAACTTTTTAATGAGAAAAATATATAAACAAATATATTAAGGTGTATAATTCCTGCACTATTCTTAATACTACCTCCGTTAATAGTTAATTGCAACAAAGGGGTTGCACGCGGACTCCAGTGCAAGACTTTTAAGAGTTCTTAATTGTTAGATAAAGCCATGTGATTAAGTAGTAAAAAGGAGGGAAAGAAGTGTGGGCCTTCATAATTTTTAAAAAAAGTAATCTGACTTTTAAGGGGTGTACTTTTCCCTCTCAAAATTTTCACCAAATTTGAAATTTTGACTTTTCAACTCCAAATTTTCAGATTTAGCACCAAATGTTTTCCCTCCTTGCATTTCAACGAATACAATGGAGAGTATAAATAGTACAGCACATTAATTCAATTGTTTAAGAAACTCAAAAGTTACAAACCATGGCTTCTCACTAACCAAATTACATCCACAATTTAAACCACAAAAGCTACCACTAAATCAGTCTTACTGTTAGCTTAATTACCCAAAATACTACCATCCTAAACCTAATTGGTGCTAAGTTAGTGACAGCATCTTCAACATCTTATTTGCGTGCTTCGGTTCTGCTTCAATTGTCCAAAAAAAAGCCACCTCCACTTCATCACCTTCTTAATCTGAAACATAACTAAACCAAAAAATATATATGGCAGATTTCTTTGATCAAGAATTTTTTGGGATAGACCAACTACTCATGGAAGAAGACATCACTGACTTCTAAGATTCCATTCAGAATGAAGATTCAAGAAATGACCAAGATGATGCAGAAAATGAGCAATCAAGCAACCAACATATCCCACATGGAAGAGGTCCAAATTATGGAAAAAAAGATCTAACAGTACAGCGGAAACGACAAATAGTAGATGAAATTTTGCTAAAAATGAAAGATGGTGAATTGCCAAGGGGATTACAAGCTCTACTAGCAAAAAAAATTAATGTTCACAGGTCAACATTAACAAGGTTAGTCAAGAGAATCAAGCAACAAATGACTGAGGGGAATGTAATTGATGTCAGGTCTCAAAAATTGGGCAGATGTGGTCATAAACTAACAGAATATTCAGAAGAGTTTTTAATGTCAGTCCCTTTATACAAGAGGACCACAGAAAGAAGCTATGCAGCAGCTTTGAAAATTTCTCATGTCACCTTGCACAATTTGAGGAACAAGGGGAGGTTAAGAACACACACAAGCACCAATCACCCAGCCCTTACATCTAACCACAAGATTGCAAGGATTAAGTGGGCTTTAGCTCACATAAATCCCATACCAGCAGAAGGAAACCCCACATTTGTTGACTTGCAACAAGTTATCCATATTGATGAAAAGTGGTTCTATTTGAACCCTGAGGAAAGAAAATTTTACCTTCTTCCAAAAGAAGAAAACCCTTATAGGTGCCAACAATAAAAAAGATTCAAGGTTAAGGCTATGTTCATGGGAATGATAGGGAAGCCCCTATATAGCACAATTGGGCAGCTACTACATTCAGGGAAGTATGGGATATTCCCTTTTGTGTACACCACAAGGGAAAAGAAAAAGAGTAAGAACAGGGAGGCTGGGACTCTTGAAACTAAGGTTGTGCAGAGTGTCACTAAGGATGCAATAAGGAAAATGTTAATGGAGCACATAATTCCAGCAGTCCAAACACAATGGCCTGAAAGTCTACCAAAAAATGTGCTAATTCAGTGGAATAATGCTAAGCCTCATCAAATCCCAAATGATGAAGAGTTCAGGGCAGCATATATTGCAAATGGTTTTAACATACAACTAGTATACCAGCCAGCACAAAGTCCAGATTTAAATGTCTTAGACTTGGGGTTGTTCAAATTGATACAGTCACTACAGTACCAATCATTCCCAAAGACTATTGATGATCTAATTCAGAAAGTCAAAGAAGCATATGAAGAGTTTGATCCAACTCTTAACAAGTATACTTGGTTAAGTCTCCAAGCTGTCATGATTGAAATATTTCTCAAGGATGGTGGTAATAACTTTAACCCTCCCCATATGGCAAAAAAAAAGTTAGACAGGCTGGGAATTCACCCTAAGTATTTGGAGGTACCAAGGGAACACATTGAACATGCTGTGAATTATTTAAACACACTTTTCATACCAACAAGTGAAGGTAATGTGGAGGACACAGAAATGGAGGTGGATGCTGACTAAACACAGTTTGGGGTACCAAAGAATCATCACAGAGATTGCCTCACATAACCAATGAAGAAAGAAGCAAGTCATTTTGGGTAACATCTTAGTCTTTGCCTTTGTCTTAGTAGTTTCCTCAATGTTGGATTTAATGTTTTTTGTTGTTGTGAACTGGTTATGTGTATTTTGGCATACAATTAGAACAAGGTTTAAGGCTATCCTGAATTAGATTCTATGTAATGGTTATGTTTAAATCATGTATGAGGTGTTTTGGCAAAACATTGATGTAATGAAAGAAATAGTGTTTTCACCTCATTACAGCTAGTTTTATAGTTATTTTTAATCCATCAATAAGAGCATTTGTTTTCACTTAGAATGGCCAAGTTGTTACCTCTACAACAAATCAATTGTGAATTTATTGGAGCAAATCAAACAAATCCATTCAATTACAATTGAGTCCCTTCATCATTTGGAGTTTTCCTAGGATATGCACATTTAGGGGAGGGACTCATTCCAGATAAGGCAATCACCAACACAATTACCCAAGGAAACCATCAAGGCATCAACACACTCACAGAAGGCAACCATCATCATTGTCACATAAGGAAACCATCAACACAATAACATAAGGCAACCTATTAGGCACAGAACATAAGGGACTCAATTCTCTCCATTATGTCATTGAGAGCACTAAAATATAGGCCTATTATCCACCCATGATTGTCAATAAGTAGACATAAATCACAGACTAGATCATCATCCATCAATTACATTCCCTAAAAGCATATACAAGCCGCAACTAATCACAGGCAATCATTTAACAACAATAAACCACAAAAAGGCTGCATAAATAATTATCAATAAGGAATCATAAACAGATCTGAGAATCACAAACATAAATGACCAAAAATGAAGGATTAGAAAGTAGTTACGCTGATCAGTCAATTGTTAGGAAACATTTCTAGGTGGAACTCCTTACGATAAGCCAAATCAATATTCTCCACATCAATAGGGTACCCAGATCGAACCCTTTTGTGTCTAGAAAGAGCGCCTTTGCTTTGTTGCTTAGCAAGAGCAGATTTAGCAACCTCAAGCTAAGGTCACTATTAATGGCAAGATCAGCATCAACAGGGGCCTTATTTTTCAGATCTGGGCAGATGGGAACAACGGGAGCGTTCACAGCTGCTTCTTTGCCCAGATCTGCCTTATCAGAGGAATCTTCATCATCGGAGACAATCTCACTGATCTTAACACCATTCCCATATTTCTTGAATCTAGTCCACACCAAAGAAGCCCGACGAACTGGTTTCATTTTACCAGTTCCGCGCTCGCACTTGTGCAGCTGAACACCAGGAGCATCAAGATCGATTTCCTATTTCTGAACACCAAGACTCTCATACGAGAAAGGATCAGATGATTTCTTAGGGGGAGAACTCATAATTTCGGTCGAAATTGTTCAGATCTGAGAAAGAACGAGGTCGAAATATGGAGAGGAAAGAGAGTATACAGAGAAGAGATGTTGAGAGCAGAAGGGGAAACGCGTGGAATGCAAGGGTTGATGGTTTTATAGACATATGTAGATTAGGGTTTGACGCCATGGATTAAATGCAGGTGGTTAAAGGTTGAAGTTTGCAATGAATAATGAAGTTGGGTAGTTGAATCAATTTGGGGGCAGTATTAAAAGGAAATGAATGAGGTAGTGGGATCAGATTTTTTTTTTTTGTGGGAATGGTTAGATAGTAATGTTAGATTAGGATTTTAATATGTTGTAGTTAAGTACTTAAGTGTATGTTAATCATTTTATAATAAGGGTAGGAAGGTATTTTTGATTTAAAAAACATAGCAAAATTGGAAAAAAAAAATTGTTGCAATTAAAGATTAGCACCCATTTTTAGTATATGTTGCAATTAACCGTTAACGGAGGAAGTATTTTTTTTACGAAAAAAAAAGTAATCATTATTAATGATAGTGAATAAATAGTCTAGATGGTATAATTATCCAAACACTATTCATTACAAAAAAAAAAATTTATACACATTAATGAGGGTATATATGTAAATACACATTTTGAAGGGCATAATTGGCATAACACTATTCATAAAAGTAATCTTGTACTTTTTATAAGGTAGTGATGTATATCATTATATCTGCTACCGAGATATCTTGTAAATATCATATTATATATGAAAAATTGAATTAAATCTTTTGAGTTATTTCTAGTTGATTTTTTTATTGAGCAACTCTCAAATTACAAATAATTAAAAAAAAAAAGACGACATCCATTAACAACCTTATTAGTACTAAAGAATAAAATACTATACTTTGTATTTTGTTAGTTAATAAGATAATATGAAATTGCAAAATGTACCCACAATTATTTAGCAAAATTATCTATAATATTATTAAAACCCAAGGAAACAACATGGTCACGCCACGTGTCACCCTTCCCACAACATGACTAGGCAACACATGTGTGTGAGGTGGCATCCTACGTTTCACGTCTTTCCCCAATATAAATTGATTCCATCGGCATCAATTAAAACTCTATAACTTTAATTAAAAAAAAAAATCTTCATATGTATAACCTCCAAATTTAATCATATAACTTTAATTCTCTATAATAATGTTTAATTTTCATCAAAAACTCTTCATATGCATAACCTCCAAATTTAAATTTGACATGCTTATTTTAAATATAGATTAATGAAAGATCATATAGATAATTAATTCGTATATATTTCACTCACTTATTAATAATCCGTATTGTTTAACATTAATCCTTTTTATTATTTTTTATCAAACTTAATTATAAATTTACGATGTACCGGGGCACCAGGCCAATAACTAGTTATGTAAGTATAAGTCAAATTGTTGCATTTAAAAATAGAAACGAGAGGTGTATGGGTGTGTAAATTAAAGGATTTCAAATATAACTCTCACAAGATAAAATCACAAAGGAGTAATTAACGAAATACTGAAATTATACCAATTAAGAAAAGAGCATTGTATAAAGGAAGAGAAGACTCGTATACTGTGGATGATAGATTGTACTCCCTCCTTTTCACTTTGTTAGTCCCATATAAAATCAATCACAAAAAAAAAATAAAAAAAAAATAAAAAAAATAAGAGAACGAATAATATTTGGAATCTTACATTTTAGTACAAAAATTGCTTAATTAGTTCTATCTTATTAAATGTTCTAATTTTTTTATTTGGAAAGTATAAATTACAATGCTTGTTTAATGGGATTGATGACTAATCAGAATATTTAATTACTGTCATGTCATCAATCCACTAATGGGATTAGAAATTAAAAGACCAAATTAGGAAAATAAAATAAAATAAAATAAAGGAATAGATTCAATATGGGTAGATCATTTTGAAACGCCCAAAATAGTATATGGGACTAACATTATGAAATGGAGGGAGTATTTTATAGTTTCTTAAGCCGTGTATGAAATGCATAACAACTCCATCATTTATAGTTGCTTGATGTTGGCGGAATAAGTCTTTTAGCATTATGATGACTAGGGATGGCAATGGGTCCTAGACTCGACCCAGACCCGGTCTGGGTACTTAAATTTGTGAATCGCTAAACATCGCCCGCAAATTACCATATAAAGCCCACAAATATGACTTGGTGTGACCATTATGCCCATTTTCTAAAATTGAAATAATCTCGGTTTAAAAAATGTGGAGCCGTACTGGCTCGCCGGGGGAGACCGGAGGGCAGGCCGGAGATGCGGGGGACGCCGGAGGTACGTCGTCGTCGACGGAAAACGAGGTAAGTCACCGTTAAAATTCACAGTTTACCAACGGAGTGGCTCTGGCGCCTAGGATGGACGCCCAAACCGTAGCCTGGACGTCCAAGCCAGACGCCAGAACCACCAGAGTGGCGTCCAGCCCAGACCACCAGAGTGGCGTCCAGCCCAGACGCCCAGACCACCAGACTGGCGTCCTGGCCAGGCGCCACTCTACTGGCTGAGGCGGCCCTGCCAGGCGCCAGTCCAGTGGCTGTGGCAGCCCTGGCAGACGCCACCCTTATAAATTAATTTATTTTTTTTTCTTTTTTGATTTTGTTGTTGTTTTTTTTTTTTATTTTTTTTAAAAAAAAATCGAAAATGATTTTTTAAAAAAAATTCGAAATGGGTTTTTTTTTTAAATTAATTTTGAAAATTCGAAATAGGTTTTTTTAAAATTAAGTTTGAAAATTCGAAATTGTATATTTTTAAATTTAGTTTGAAAATTCGAATTGGGTTTTTATAAAAATTAAGTTTGATTATACATAATTATGCTTTTTTTGTGTTAATTCTGTGTAAATATAGAAATTAAATGTATTATCCGTTAAATTTATTTATTTAATATATAATTGATGCAGGATTATGGTGGAGACGGAAATGATTACAGTGGGATATTTGGACATGATGGTCCATTCGAAGAAGCTCAACAGGCGATTGATTGGGAAAAACAGGTTGCAATTGCAGCTGGATTTTGCTTGGTAGTAGTAACTCATAAATCTCAACGGGATGGTAGAATGGATCGCATTTTGAGATGTGACCGTTATCGCAAAAGAGAAGACAGAGATTTTCGTACAGCCACTCGGTTTGATACAAAGCGGAAAGGTTGTGGGTGTGAGTTCAGAGTAAAGGTTCGACAACTACGGAGTCGTGACGGTTGGGAAGTGATTGGTTACTCTAAATGGGGGTATCACAACCATGAGATGATAGTATATGAAGAGGGTCATCGACAGCTGAGCGGCTTAAGTCCTGCTGCGAAAGTAGTTGTGAAAGAAATGAGTGATGCTCAAGTCAAGCCTGCTAAAATATTAGCATCTGTGTTAGAGAAATTTCCAGAAGACCATCCAAACCGAAGACACATCTACAACGTCAGACAACAACTCAGGTTTGAACGGTCAGAGGGAAGGAACCCTATACAACAGCTGCTACACCAGGCACAATCACGTGGTTACCTGTTCTGGTTTGATTCTGATGAAGATACAGCGGAGGTGACTCATCTTTTCCTTGTGCATCCTGATTGTGCTGATATGATCAAGTCTTGGCCATTTGTGATTTTGATCGACTCACCGTACAAGACAAACAAGTACAAGTTCCCACTGGTTGAGATCATGGGGATGACTCCAACGAACCAGAACTTTCTGATTGGTCATGCAATCATCAAGGATGAGACGGCTCCAAGTTATTATTGGGTGTTGGAGAAGCTGAGAAACTACATCGGGCCTAATGTTCATCCAGCAGCCATCGTCAGCGACTGTGAGGGAGGTCTCTTTGCCCCCATAGCAGAGCTGTTTCCAGAATTGAACCACTTTTTGTGCACATGGCACATCAACAACTGCGTGAAAGTGAAAGCCTACAACCTTTTCAACAAGAATTTGGAAATGGCAGAGAGATTGGTGAATGGTAAGTGGCGGAAGATCCTACAGGCTACCATAGAGGAAGCGTATGAGCGAGCATTGGCTAACTTCAGGGATTCGTACCAGTGGTGTCCGGCACTGGTGGACTATGTGATGCAGCAATGGGTCCCTCACAGGGAAAAGTTTGTCAAATATTGGACAAACCAGGTACTTCATTTCGGGAACACTACAACATGTAGAGTTGAGAGCGCTCATAGAGCTACCAAGGACTGGATTGATTCATCGACCGCTGCTTTGGATACACTGTTCGATAGTCTTAACAAGTCAATTGAAACTCAGAAGAACGGCATCAGGAACTCTCTAGAGGACTCCGGACGACGACATGGTACGATGTATAGCCATTTTATATTTAAGATTCTCCATGGTCGTGTGTCGCACTACTGCTTGGGGTTAATTCTCACTGAGCTGAACAGGATGAGGGACTTGGCTGACGAAGTGTATGCTCGGTGTGGGTGTGCTATTTCAGTAACTCATGGATTACCTTGCGCATGCACCATTCACCGCGTTATTACAGAAGAAAGGGCATCGTTACATGTTGATCAGGTCCATTCATTCTGGAGGACGCTTGTTATTGGTGAGCATGCAGACACTCAAACGGCCGACCGTGAACAGGAGGAGTTGGAGCAGTTTCGTTCGATGTACGATCGAGTGTCCTCCAGCCATCCTTCTATTATTCGTGACACTACTCATGTACTTCATGACATGTTCCACACGTCTACCTTAGATTATGAGGAACCCGAAGGAGTTGACCGTCCTCGAGGTCGACAACGGCAGAACAGGAGTGCGTTTGAGTATATTCGTGGTCTTGGTCGTGGTCGTGCTCGTGGTCGGACATCGTCATCTAGTCGTAGTCAATCTTCATCGTCTGTGAATATGCCCCTGAGAACTGGTACGTTTTGGTTGTTTACATTGCACATAGTTTTAAAGTGTTACTCCTGCCTTCTTAACTGTCTATAACTATATGGTGAATAGGAAGAAACAATGTTGATCAGTTTCCGTACAAGGAAAGGATACCTACGATCATCATGCCGTACTTGGAAGGGTGGAATGATGTAGTCGGAGATGGTAACTGCGGATTCCGGGTCGTGGCTGATGTTTTTCAAATGGGCGAAGACAACTACGGTTTGGTGCGTCAGTTGATGTACAGCGAAATTGCCTCTAACCGAAATGTTTATCGTCATGTGTACCAGGATGACTTGGATGGCGCTCTGCGGCGTATCCGGTGGGGAGGTGGACCTTGCGGCCAAAATCATTATTTTGACGCGCCCCTAGATCTGTTTGCCGTTGCAAACATTTACAAATGCGCAGTCATGCATTTCGGCCTGGGAGTGCATAGTCAAGCTTATTATCCTTGTACCACGGTTCTCCCTTGGCGGTCGCGTGAGACTGTCACCACACCGGTCAGAGAGCTAGCTATTGCGTTTCTTGGGTCGTCATACAGACATTTCATCCGACTAGACATGTCATCCGATTTTCCAGTGCCACCGATTATACCTCGGTGGTACAACATTCGCACAGCGAGCGTAGAGGGTTGGGATGCGCTATATCATGACCGGATCCACGAATGGAACACCCTAGCTGCATTTTAGTTTTTCA